GTCGCATTTTACGGACCGTTACATAACGGCTAGACCCAGTAATATCTTAATTACCCAAATACTGTCGCTCTAATTTCTATCAACTTTTGCAGATTGTTTGAATAGATTAAGAACTTGCACCAAACCGAATCCAGGCAAACGACATAACATATTCATCTAGAAATCATATTGCGAATGAAGGCACATTTTGAACAACTAAAAACATTACACAAATGATACAAGTGGGTTTCCTGTATTTTTTGCAACTTTCAAAAATGATATCGACTTTCAAGTATCATGTTATTCAAGAAAACATTGTTATATAGCTTTAAAATTCAAACATCTGCAGAATGGGCCCATATTTTACTTTTAAATATTCATTTATTTAAACGCGTAACCCGTTTATGTTACACATTACATTGGAGTAATGGCGAATTTTGACGTTATATCGGTGATTATTAGGTTGCACTCGAAACTTTTATATATTCTAATGAAATATTCAGGTAGATAAAAAAATTCTTAATAAGATGGTATATAATAACATATATATTTGATCCTTATTCAGATTTTATATAGCGCTGATGTAGCGAAATCCGCGACTTTTCGTATGTGCGTCAACATCTGACGTTACGTCATCACATGTTGTAACAATTGTATATATGATTGAATAAAAATATATATGAGAAAAAAAAATAGATTATCAAAAAGCTGCTGATTGTTGGAAAAAAACACCACAATAATAAATATAAAATGTCAAGTTTAATTTAGTTAAAGAAAAACTTTAACTCTCTTTGGTTTTGTAACTGTCCTTTACACGACATCTTTAACATCGTTATAGAATTGTCTGATACAGCAGGGACAGAACCACGTGACCAGGGTCATATGTGAACACGCCTTTACATTGGTCAAGACGAGACAATAGGAACTAAGATGAAAATATTTAAAAAAAAAAAGTGGAATAGCTCAAATTAGTTACCACCGACATGTTAAAACGCTTTCTGTTCTGTTTTGTTTTTAGATTACTCATACATGTACTATGTAAATTTATAACATAAAATGTAATAATTGGAAAACTATAAGTGCTTTTAAATTGCCCCGATATCAAGTATATCAAATATATATATCTTAGTTTACACTATATTTTATTGCCAATATATTGTAGTAATACAAATAATATCATACAGGGATTCTGCGTACAGAGTTCATATAAATCAGCTGTCTCCATCACATTCGTTAAATCACAAGCCATGGACACGTGACATAACAGCACAGTGTATATGTACCTACAGTTAAAGTGTTTGCGTAGTTCTGAAAAAAATATGAATTAAACTTAAACATATTTGCTTCATTTGAATAAAGCTTTTTCATGTTTATATAATGTAGCAAATATCAAGGGGAAACCAGGGCAATTTCGGCCAATTTGTATTTGTCGTTCTGTGAAGTATATGGCATTTGTTGAAATGTATGTGTGTACAGCATTTTGAAGTTATTAAATTCCATGGCTTTCATAAAAACTGTAACAAAAGGGCTAACACGTCCGTATTTGATGAATTATGCAGCTTTTTCTGTTGGAATCTTGGATGGCCTTTGGGCACGTTCGGACAGGCAGTCTGGGGTAATTCGGCCCACGTTGGAGCATAATTATGAGTTCATAAAGCATGAACCGTCATATTTTCCCGCCAATTTCAATACTTCCTGTGTGTTGCATATAGGCCAAACTAGCCCCGGTATCGTGAGCCAAACCTGCTCGAAAATGATATTTCAATAAATCCGTATATTACAATAACACAAAAGTCAGTGCTAGGCTTGTTTGTATAGTCATGTGTAAGTGCTAGGCTTTTTTGTATAGTCATGTGAAGCTGACATTGTGCTACACGTATGACATAAATAATTAGGAATTCGGTGTACAGAAGGTTTGCAAAACTAGAAGTGAGGTCATGATTTTTTCTACCCTCCCGGGAAAAAGTAACTTTCTCCCTTTTAGTAATTTTAGTATTGAATTTTTCTCGCCATTTCTTTCGTGTGAATGTCCCCGCCCAGCAAACTGGACTTCTAAGGTTCTCAAAGTTGTCAATATTTGCTCATTACAAAAAATATCAGTCCTGATTGGCCGGGCTTACCCTGGTCTCCGCTAGAACATCCTCTGTAAACAGTTACAGGACCCTCCACTGTAAACAGTTACAGGATCCTCATCTGTAAACAGTTACAGGATCCTCCTCTGTAAACAGTTACAGGATCCTCCTCTGTAAACAGTTACATGATCCTCCTCTGTAAACAGTTACATGATCCTCAACTGTAAACAGTTACAGGATCCTCCTCTGTAAACAGTTACATGATCCTCAACTGTAAACAGTAACAGGATCCTCCTCTGTAAACAGTAACAGGATCCTCCTCTGTAAACAGTTACATGATCCTCAACTGTAAACAGTTACAGGATCCTCCTCTGTAAACAGTTACATGATCCTCAACTGTAAACAGTAACAGGATCCTCCTCTGTAAATAGTTACAGGATCCTCCTCTGTAAACAGTTACATGATCCTCAACTGTAAACAGTTACAGGATCATCCTCTGTAAACAGTTACATGATCCTTCACTGTAAACAGTTACAGGATCCTCCACTGTAAACAGTTACAGGATCCTCTACTGTACACAGTAACAGGATCCTCCACTGTAAACAGTTACAGGATCCTCCTCTGTAAACAGTTACATGATCCTTCACTGTAAAAAGTTACAGGATCCTCCACTGTAAACAGTTACAAGATCCTCCTCTGTAAACAGTTACATGATCCTTCACTGTACACAGTAACAGGATCCTCCACTGTAAACAGTTACAGGATCCTCCACTGTAAACAGTTACAGGATCCTCCTCTGTAAACAGTTACATGATCCTTCACTGTAAACAGTTACAGGATCCTAAACTGTAAACAGTTACAGGATCCTCTACTGTACACAGTAACAGGATCCTCCACTGTAAACAGTTACAGGATCCTCCACTGGCGATATAAACATATACCCACAACATAATAGGACTAAATAAACATACTTAGCAATCTCCAATATTTTTAAGCATTTGATTTTTATTGCTTGTATGGAACATATGGAAATATCTTGCGATTGTATCACGAGGATTTAAAAGTCGTTCCCGTCAAATATGGAAACATCTTTCGATTGTATCACGAGGATTTAAAAGTCGTTCCCGTCACATATGGAAAGTTGACCTAATCATGCCCACAATACCAGTACTGGACTATGATCTCCATGAAGGAGTATGTCATCAAATAGCCATCTATATATCAGTAGGTCATCTGTCTTTTACCTGCAGTAGATTTCACAAAAGTTATTGCCTGAAAGGGGAGGTTACTTGCAGCAATTAAAATTATTGGTAAGGACATAAAAACGTGTATTAAGGTACCCTGACCTACCCTAGTTTTTACCTATAACCCTAACCATTTTATTTCACTCAAATGGGCCCCATCCACTGTTGGGATAACTTGTCCATCGGATGCAAACAAATTGATGAACAAACAAACAAGGAAACTATATATATATATATATCCCTCTCTAATTCCAATCCCATATTACAATTTACAGGACCCAAACATGTGTTTGGTGATTTTTGTAATTTCTTAAATTAGCCCGCTTCTTATGTCCTGTTAGCCGAAACCTAGGTCATTTCTTGTTTTGCCAAATATATTCAGGAGCCAATCACATTAAGCTAGACATCCAAGTAACAGGTGTCCCAAAGCCTCGGGTCTGTACTACTCTCCTGGAAACTTGGAGCTGGTAAAATGTTGAAGGTCATTGTTAAAGTTATTACAAGAGCGATCAAAGTATGCATTCCATTTGATGAAATCAAATACAAGGTATAACTATTCATCCAGAAACAAGGAATATGCTGTACACTTATCCTGTGATTATATTATAGTCACAATTGTTTTCATTAAATTAACTGAAATAAAGGCAAAAATCACATACAAACTTTTTTTTTTACATTTCACTCTGTTTATTATTACATCAACAAAAATATACACTGTTTATTACATCAACAAAAATATAACACTGTATACATATTCTTCAATAAATAAATAACAAAACATAAAATCAAAAGCAAAATGTAAAACTTAACCCCTTCATTAAAGTTAAAATCGGTGTCAATTGGTCCACAGCTTCAGAATCAAAAGAATATATATATATAGTTGTATTATAACCCTACACAAGTAAGCAAAGGGACGTAACTCCACTGAAATTTCAAGATTAGTATGGTGTAGGAGATAAATACACTGCATTGGTAATTAAGTTGCAAGAAAATAGGATTAAAGTTGGACACTAGTTTTCAGGAAATGTGATGAAAAATGCACAACTAATAATTTGGGAAGAAGATTTCCATGAACAGAGGGACAGTAAAACAGTCTTGGTTGTAATGGCTATTATGATATTGCTAATTACTGTTTATACATCAAATATTCATATTAATAAAATACTTGTTAATATTCCATTATCTTATTAGCATTCAACACTACCAAAGACTAGACTTGTCTTTATAAAGTAAAATAAGGTATATCATACAGCCTATATTACATAGAATACATTGAAACAGGAACAAATGGAAAAAAATGACTTATTTGTCACCAATTTAGGTAAAAAGCTGCAACATGCAAGTTTGTTACCAATAAGGACTAGTATATCAGGGATGATTGATTGATAAATGTAAGTCACATTACTTGAATGAAAGTCCCTGGAGAGCTTACTACTGACAAATATGTTATAAAAGTTCAGAGCTTTCGACACTACAGAATGTACATGTAGAGAGCCAAGACTGTCCATGTTTCTCAGATGCAGGCATGTAGATGGACATGTACAGGTAGGCCAGAAACAATCCTCAGGGTCAGTACTAGGCCTCATTATTTTTTCACATAAATTCCTATGCACTGCATTTACCAACTGACCACAGAAAAACAGCTGACTTCAACAGGTATTTATAAAGTATGCAAGACACTCAATCCATGGTGTGGGATAGAAACAAGGAGGTTCAAACCAATGGCATAAACTATACAACAAACCTGCAGTCTCCTGCTCATTACATTCTTGGTTTGAATGACTTTATCCATACCTTACTTCAGGGATGGATTCCATTCATACTTAATATATGCAATTTTCTGATTTGGCCATTTATTAAATACCCACCTATTTCTATCAAAGTTAGTTTTCATATTTATTTCATTGATGCCAGCCAAAAAATACCCTTTTTAGCAATGAATATGGAACAAACTGATGTTTGAAATCAGTTCAAAAATTTCTCTAAGAATCAAACACATATAGCCTTTGGTCCTTCTAAACTGCAGCGGTCTTGCAATTGTTACGACCTTTAATGAAACACTGGTCAAATTTCATAGTTTCTGAACTTGGACAAAGTAGTAGAGGCTGCATCCCTCTCCCATGGGGGTGAGGAGGCTTCCTTTGTGGCTGTAATGGAAATGAGATACGTGTACGATTACCAGTATGAGCTAATACTGTGTATTCCTTTCTCAATGGAAGTTTGGCACAAGCTCTATTTCACTTATTGAAACATGACCATCTTATCATCACTCATCTTCGCTAGCCAAGTGTTCGCTTCGTATACACTCCACTTGGCTAGCGAAGATGATCATCACTGTACAAGTCTTACATTATCACTATACAGGTCATGCATCTGTTTTCCTCCATTACTATGCAAGCATTACATGCAGTACAATCTTTTCTTCTTCCAATAAGAAATTACAGATTATAACTCACACTATCTGGTGGTGACTATCTATACTGTATTGACATGATCTTGAACTGCACATTTCTTCCATTTCAATTTTCTATATTGTAGATTAATTTAATTAGACCTTGAGATGTTTTATGACTGCTTTGACTATTTTATAAGCCACAATATAAGCTTGATTACCTAACTGGTATGAAGTTGACGTGGTACTGACAGGGACACTTCCATGAGTGTCGGATCGCTGGGTTGGTCTTTTTATCCTGTGTTCGGGGTGATCCAACATGGGCTGTGGTTTTACTGATGCCCAGTGCATGGACTATAATGAAACAATATATTTGAAATGGTAAGTATATATATATATATATTATAAAAGCAGAAAAATGATCCTTACGGACGAAGAAATAATATAAAAATATACACACATCGGTAGTGTGTCGGATCAGTAATGTGATGGCCCCGAGTTCGCTCCACACAGGGATTTTTTTTTCTTTTCTTTTTTTCTCTCCATAAATCATAGTATTTATAGTAATTCTAAATCCTAAACAAATAGTACTCTTTACCCTAAGACCATAATTATGTATTTCTATTGCTGTGATATCGCTATGGTGGGTACCCATATAGTGGACGTCGCTATAGCAAACTTTTATGTGACGTCATAGTTTATGACGTCACAATACATTGTATCTACTTCAAATGAACAGTCTGAAGAATCTCCTTGATGAGATGAAAGTACTAAAGACTTGCTGTTGAGAATTTTTCTTTTTATATCATATATATATATACAAGTATATAGATTTGTATTACAACTGAATAAAGTCCTACATGAACTGCTGGTTCCTGTCAATTTCCTGTAATACAGTGGGTATTCCTATTGCTGCATGCTCACATGAAGCAGCACCGACCTAAATATTGTGATTACCACAAGTATGATATATTATAACAGTCTTGTACAAGCTGTTATATCATCTCTAAAAACTGAGTGTTACCAAATATATAAAACTGGGCCAGGACCACTTATTAAATTAATGACTGTGTTTATACAGACTGTTTAAACAGTACAATGATGAATGAATGTGTTTGTATAGAACATGCATACAGATGAATGAGTTTATCCAGTACATGTGTACTGATGATTGAGTTTATACAGTACATGTGTACTGATGAATGAGTTTATACAGTCCATGTGTACAGATGATTGAGTGTATACAGTGCATGTGTACTGATTAATGAGTTTATACAGTACATGGGTACAGATGATTGAGTTTATACAGTGCATGTGTACTGATGATTGAGTTTATACATTACATGTGTACTGATGAATGAGTTTATACAGTACATGTGTACTGATAAATGAGTTTATACAGTACATGTGTACAGATGAAAGTATTTATACAGTACATGTGTACTGATAAATGAGTTTATACAGTACATGTGTACTGGTGAATGAGCGTATACGGTACATGTATACTGATGAAAGTATTTATACAGTACATGTGTAATGATGAATGAGCGTATACAGTACATGTATACTGATGAAAGCATTTATACAGTACATGTGTACAGATGAAAGTATTTATACAGTACATGTGTAATGATGAATGAGCGTATACAGTACATGTATACTGATGAAAGCATTTATACAGTACATGTGTACTGGTGAATGAGCGTATACGGTACATGTATACTGATGAAAGTATTTATACAGTACATGTGTAATGATGAATGAGCGTATACAGTACATGTATACTGATGAAAGTGTTTGTTTAAGCTGTAGATACAGGTGTTTGTATGAAACCTTTATTTAGTATTTTGATACTGATTAAAATGGATTAATGTCACATTATAGTCTCATACTGATTTATTCAAATAAATGAAAATGGCAATTTTAATTATAACTTCAAATAAGTCCTCACTGCATTCTCCCCTTGGCTGTTATAGTACTTACAGTATGGACAGAGTCACGTAAACCACTCCATTGGTCGTACGACATTGCAATCCCAGAATTCTTCCACTTATCATATTTTTTCCTCATTTCCTGATCACTTAACACCTCCTTGGCTTTTTGAAGTCTTGCAAATTTTTCAACTTTGAAAATAAGAACAAAACAAGTTTCTTTAGCAAAAGTTGAACAAATAAAAGCATATCATGGTTCTCATTTCAAATGACTACAGTCAAATCTGTAAAACCTACAAGTAGTTTAAAGGTAAAAAAACAACCTTTTTTACATTATGATTGGAGTACATTTCATTAAAAAATTCAAAGTTAGTTTTTGCAGTCTCAAATATCAAGTTTCAAAATTGTTTTGCTTCACAAAATGACACTTCACATGGGTCTCGGATTCTTTTTCGGTCCCAGTAAACAAGTTCTATTTGTGACATCATGCATCTGACTTGGAGGTTTCAGGTTTGCATCCCATATACTAGCTTAATTGCATTTTGTTTCGATTCCTATTAGTATGACTTTTTGGTGCATGTGACTAACCCTTATTACAACCAGTGCATGCTGTATAAGCAAGCTTAAAACAGGAGGTATCAAAACCAGATTTCTGATGTAACACTTATGTAACAACCTAAAATGTACAGTACTTGCAATTGTATAAGTATAAACATAAACTTGTATCTTGCTTACCTGCAGTATGGTCAGCAGGGTTTTTATCGGGATGACATTCTAATGCAAGGATCTTGTACTCTGTATTTATTTGTTCTGTCTGAAGAAAAAGGACGATTTTAATAATCAAGTTGTTGTCTTTAAGTGATGGGTGCAAGAGGACAAGAGGGTGGACAGGTCACTACTAGACTAATTACTGGCAGGTATGTACACAAGTCACTGCCAGCTAGAACTTGCCGCTAAAATGGTGTAATTACATATACTATAAAATATAATAGTATATATATACATTGTAGTGTGTCCAGCACTTCTGGTTTTGTATATAAACTTACAGAGCTGTCATAAAATCTTGACTGCCATGAACTCTGAGCAAGTCAGAAGAAATCAGGCAAGGCTAACCACTCTGCACACATTTCGTTAAGTCTTATTCTGTTCATGGAATGTGTACCATAAGCAAAATTATAGAGAAGTTAGTGGAATTTTTTTCTAGTGCAAACTACAAAAACAGTCTTGGTCTCTGTAACTGCAACCTTTTACTTGCTGTCTGATGAAGATATTTGTGCCATGGCAAGAGTGGGTAGCCAGTCTATACAGTACACAATAACAGGATATGGATTTCCTACCAGAATGTCAAATAACAGCAGCTCTAGTAACTTACCAAAACCTAGCTGCAATCACATATAGCTTCTGAAGACGAGACAATGTTTTATTACATCGTCAGAGCTGAGGAGGCTGGGTATTAATATTAGCAGCTGATTAGTACTTAAACCAGAAACATCCATACACAATCAAAATATTGTAGCGGAACTGGACTGGTCATTTGTTTGCAACCAGGTAGCTCAATAGGTAGAGCTTCCGTCTAGATTTTGGAGGATCCTGGGCTCTGGTCTGGCCATGCATTTTTCCATCTCCTGTCACAGTGGTGCCTGTGACCAATCCTTGTTTCAAGCATTGTGTGTATATATGCTTGACAAGGGGATACCGAGGTATGGGTTGGGGCCCTTGGGGCCGAAGACTTAGAAAAAGTAATTCCTGTAGGAGCTCTATCTAAATCAGAGATTTATAACGATAGAGTTCCTGCACAGCTCCTATATAAAGATGTATGAAATGGAAGTCGGCGAGTGTTCAAAGTACTCACGTGGTTTATAGTAATTGAACATTGATATCGCCAACGAAACTTGTAAATCCCAATAGATAAATGCAAATGCTTCCGCCATACGATCCAACTAAAAAACCTGATATAAATGCATTGCACATCACCGCAATAGTTCTTAATTCCGGAGAGAGGAATGTGTCGGAACTGCACTGGCTCCATCGTCTGTGACCAGGTAGCTCAATTGGTAGAGCGTCCGTCTAGATTTCGGAGGGTCCCGGATTCGAACCCAGGTCTGTACGTGCATTTTTCCCATCTCCTGACCTGTTACACAATTAATATTTCCAAGTTCCATAGGTGCACAGTGATTAAGGTATTTCATACATGTCTTTGTCACTGTATATAGTATGTGATCGGCTCATAACTTTTCCTCAAAATGAAAAAAATATGGAAGTTGGTTGGTATACCCATGTCAAGAACAATGTCAATAATGACCTTTGTCGAATATATTCTTGATTTTGTCTGAAAAGTAACTTTTGAATGCAGAATTTTAGTGGTGCAAAATTGCATTGAATATTGTAATTCATGAAAACACTTACCTGTACATACATTTCTAAAGTATCTGTGTATTGACTATTATCGAGAAAAATGTAAGAAAATACTTCAAATCTCAAGAATGATGGCATGTATTTTCATTGGATATTTTACAATAATTCATGAAGCTAACAAGGCTATTGATACAAGTCAAGTCAGATTTCCTGAGTGAGAACCTGAAGGTGTTTTGAATGGTGTACAGGTAAAATCGCACTTGCTTTGCATGCTTTTTCCCCCAACTTCAGGCAGCCTTGTTGGCTTTATGGCTTTATGCTCATGCAGTTGTTATTTATTCAGTGGAAATATATATGCTATTATTCTGGAGATTTGACACATTTTCTTACATTTTTCCCGATAATAGTCAATAAATGGATACTTCAGGAATGCATGTTCAGGTAAGTTTTTTTTCTTGAATTCCATTATTCATTGCAATTTTGCGCCACAATAATTCTGCATTCAAATGTTACTTATCAGACAAAGTCAACAATATTTTCAACAAATAATTTCTGTAAAGGGCAGTATTGACATTTTTCCTGACATGGGTATACCAAGCAACTTCCACATTTTTATCATTTTGAGGAAATACACTGACATGAGCCTGTATGAAACGTTTGTTTTTTCTTCCAAAGATCGAACGTATTGCAAAGCATTCGAAACAATGTGCATACTTTTTAAACACATTATCATTTCATGTATGTATTGCCTGTGTGTCTAGCTATTAAATGTCTAACTTGACAGCTGACAGGTACTCTACTTTCGGATTGATCCTCGACATATAAAATGATAGTTATAAATCACAAGTTTGTCGATCTATCAAAAAATAATAGACAAAATAAAATGGTTTTATATATCATGTGTTTTCATCTTAACATTACATACCGATGAATGTTCGCTACAGTTCAGAATTTTATAGAAATCATCCTCTTCTCTACACTTATGTTGCAAGATCTCCTCCATGCCGGGACTCGGGAGCTCATTTGCATATTTGACATGGGAATCGATGGTGAAAGCTTTGCGTGTAATACCGCTTCTCTAAATACATTCTTATGTTCATAAAACATGTACTGTATGGATTATGAACGTATTACAAGGGCGTAACTTCTATGTCAGTTCGAATATAATATTTCCCATTCAAAATCTGTAAATAATGATAACTCCCCTGCAAATAACTTTTCAGTGCGCATGCGATGTGGTTCCAAAAAAAGAAAATGGCGGAAGACGTAAAGATTTTAGAAGAGGTCCCATCAAAACGCCAAAGGATCGAACCAGACAGCACTTCTGGCGACTGTGACATTTCCTGTACGTTTAATATTGATTCAACAGAAATAAGAAATGGGCCGGGATCTCATACGAAAGCTAACAACTTTAATTCTTCTGACATAGGTATCTCATATTTGGTGTATTTCGAGTTGTTTCCCTTTAAGTTGTAGACGACTGTTTGCAATATATGCCGAATCATAGATGTTATCTATCATGTATGGGTACAACATAATGACAGCCGACAGAGATATGCATTCTAGATAGTTCATGTCTTTTTTATCTATACACCAAAATAAAAAAATAAAAAAATGGAAATTAAAATTGATAACCTGCTAAAATTAGGTCATCGTGACCTCTTTAAAAAAACAGGTTCACGTTGTATAGTAGACTAGTAGATTGTAGATCCCTTAATGTTTATGATCAACAACCTCCTAAAAGTTTTTATGGTCATCCAAAATTACAACCCCTAGTAAGTCATACTTTTTTGGAAAGTTTCAAATTAAGGGTCCATATATTTAGAAAAACATACATGTACAAAACTAAAAAAAGTTGGGAATATTTTAATAATGTTAATATTGAAATTGTGATGTTTATGATATATCATCTGATTCTATAAGGAAAATCATAAATAATTCAAAATAATATTCACAAATTTAATTTTGTAACAAGTTCAATGTGAAGTAGAGTTATATGTTTTTCTCTATGGAATGGGTATGTGTAATGTACCTTTAAGAATGGTGTTGGGGAAATAAAACCCTGTATTATTATAAATAGAATGATGTTGCATTTAGTAAACTATTTATAAATATTTTGAAAATTAGACCTCCAGTGTTTCTTTGAGGAGACAAACAAAATAGATGTCCCATATATTTCATACTTTTTTCCACTGCAGCTTTATAATTATCATCCTGTCATTTTTCTGTGCAAGAAAATTATTTTCTGGTCCATATGAAATTTCTGAGGCTTAAAGTGAAAAAAGTTCACAAATAACAATTCAGAGACTAACAATTAATTGTAATTGTGAATCATGAATTTATTTGTAAGTAATCATGTCTACTTTGTAGAACTTTCAGTCACCTGGGCAAGACATAAACCGCTGCTGTGAGTGGGTGAACGTCTATATGAGGCACTGGTAGACAGACCTGGCCTCTGCTTGGCTGTAATGTTTAATCTTCACCTTTAGTGTACATGTGGCAGATATTGATTTGATGCATTTTAAATCTTGGTATTTAATTCTCATGATATTGATTTATTAATATTTGTGATTTTAGTGAATGGTAATTATGATGCGACAAGACAGGACAATTTCTCTGGGGAAACAACAGATCAAGAGCATCCAGTACAGAATAATATTGTGAGTTTATCTCTTACATGTAACTTATGACAATTTTTGTATCATCATATAATAAATTGTGTTTTATATGTAGGCTTAGGTTGAAATGTGTGAAGATCATAATGACTTTAGATTCAATGGCAGTTATTTCTCAGTGAAGAAATCATGATATTTTCTTACCATTTTACTTAAGACAAGGAATAATTGAGAGAGAAAAATGAGATAAATATACATGTAACAGGATGAGTATGTTGTATGATATATATAAGTATGCTGCAACTGGTTGCTGTGTATTTTGTCATTAGCAGAAAGTTTTTTAATTATTTACAACAAAGACAAGCACTTATTTTGAGAGTAAAATAAACTTCATTGAGCATGTTTTTTAAAGATGAGAACCAGGTGTTACCAGATGGTTTCCATTTTGACTTGTCCATGAATTTTTGGAAATTGATCAAAGAATTTCAGCAAAAGAATTAAGAACTCTGTTCTTTTGGTTAAGAAAAATGTTTAATATATAATTCTAGTCTTAAATAATTTTAAAACTGTGTACACAATGGAAATTAAAATATTAAATGTAAGGTTGTGTTTGTGTAGGATCAAGATAATGAAGTTATAGCAGATGATTCGGACAACCTTAGTGATGTCAGTGATATGTCTGGACTGAGTGAGGATGCCTGGCAGGCTACATCTCCTGGATAGCATCAGTGATAAGTCTAGACTGAGTGAGGATGCCTGGCAGACTACATCTACTGGTAAGTATCGGTGATATGTCTGGACTGAGTGAGGATTCCTGGCAGGCTACATCTCCTGGTAAGTATCAGTGATATGGCTGGACTGAGTGAGGCGGTCTGGCAGACTACATCTCCTGGTAGGTATCACTGGTATGTCGGGGCTGGGTGAGGAGGCCTGGCAGACTACATCTCCTGGTAGGTATCAGTGGTATGTCGCGACTGAATGAGGAGGCCTGGCAGACTACATCTCCTGGTAGGTATCACTGGTATGTCGGGGCTGAGTGAGGAGGCCTGGCAGACTACATCTCCTGTTAGGTATCAGTGATATGTCGGGACTGAGTGAGGATGCCTGGCAGACTACATCTCCTGGTAGGTATCAGTGATATGTCGGGACTGAGTGAGGAGGCCTGGCAGACTACATCTCTTGGTAGGTATTAGTGATATGTCTGGACTGAGTGAGGATGCCTGGCAGACTACATCTACTGGTAGGTATCACTGGTATGTCTGGACTGAGTGAGGATGCCTGGCAGACTACATCTCCTGGTAGGTATCACTGGTATGTCTGGACTGAGTGAGGATGCCTGGCAGACTACATCTACTGGTAGATATCACTGGTATGTCGGGACTGAGTGAGGAGGCCTGGCAGACTACATCTCCTGGTAGGTATCACTGGTATGTCGGGACTGAATGAGGAGGCCTGGCAGATTACATCTCCTGGTATGTATCACTGGTATGTCTGGACTGAGTGAGGATGCCTGGCAGACTACATCTACTGGTAGATATCACTGGTATGTCGGGACTGAGTGAGGATGCCTTGCAGACTACATCTCCTGTTAGGTATCAGTGATATGTCGGGACTGAGTGAGGAAGCCTGGCAGGCTACATCTACTGGTATGTATCACTGGTATGTCTGGACTGAGTGAGGAGGCCTGGCAGACTACATCTACTGGTAGGTATCAGTGATATGTCTGGACTGAGTGAGGAGGCCTGGCAGACTACATCTCCTGGTAGGTATCAGTGACATGTCTGGAATGTTGATTTTGTTTCATGTTTTTTTTCATAGACATACATATCTTTATTTACCACTGTTCGTATCGAATTAAGTCACCGCCGGATTGTATATATTGGAGACTACCAAAGGTAAATATTTTACGCAAATTCGAAAACAATAGGTCACATGATGAAAAATGAGTTCTTTGCACTTAAAAAAAATTCACATTGATTGGTGCTGATTTTAGCAGCAATTAATTGGATTAGGCAACTGTCATGTGCTATAACAAGTTAAACATAAGACAGGTAACACCAAGATATCTTGTCTTAACAGGTATGAGACGGCATAATAATTTGTCGTGTTTACACGTCAACAGGGACCAAAATGACATTGTTGTCGTGTGTACACAACAATGGTACAGAAAGAGTTACCCTGCATCCATGATTGATATTATACAAGCATGTATTATGCCATTTTCCAATTTTTGAAAAGCAGAATAAGAGGCAGAATATAAGTTTTTGCATTTTCTTAACAGATGTGTCATGTGTGATTTATTTCCAATAACTTAAAAAAAAAATGGTCTCCTAGCCAATTTCATTGACTATATTTATATTGCTGTTAGAGCACTTGAAATGACATAATTATCATTCTGTCAGTCTTGTGATGTTGGTATACTAGATTTATATTCAGTTTAGTGATGTTGGTATGCTTATTAGGTTTACAATATTCAGTCTGGATATATCTGTGTGCTAGGTTAATATTCAGTTTAGTGATGTTTTGCCTGGTAAAGTCTGATTATGGAATGTCACACAGTTATTTTATTTCTGATCCCAACCAGGTTCCATGATGTGGGTTCAAGATCAGATGATGACAGGAATAAACCCTCGTGTCATTCTCAATGACCTCATAATGTCAGACGTCCTAATTCCAGAAGATATGGATGATTTTACTCTGTGGAAAATAATTGTCAATATCATGTCGGAACCACCACGGAGGAAGAAACTGCCTCATGTTAATACCTTGGAAGATGTTCTACATCTTCTGAAAACTTGCAGCAAAATCATGGTGTTGACAGGAGCAGGGGTAAGGAAATAAACATGATATTCTAAGATGGTTTAACAGAATGTGCATTTGTCTATTGATGCTGATAATAAACCACGGACCACTTTGCTACAATACGTATCTACAATTATAATACTGTTCTGTCATCTGATATTTTTAGCCCACCATCATCTGATGGTGGGCTTTTCAAATCACCCTGCATCCGTGGTCCGTCCGTTGTCTGTCCTTAAACAATTTTTGTTATCGCTATTTCGCGAGAAGTACTTGAGGGATCTTTCTCAAATTTTACATGTTGGTTCCCCTTGGTCCTTAGCTGTGCAGGGCAACTTTTGAGACTGGTCAGATAAACAAAATGGCCGACAGGCATTGAAGGTTGAGAAATCTTTCCTAAAATATTTATATAGGTTTCCTTTGTTATGAATTTATGCATATTTTCTTATGAGACTGATCGGAAAAACAAATCTTTGATTTTGACAGTTAAGGTTTGTTAGTGCTATTTCCCAGGAAGTACTGGGGAGTTCTTTCTCAAATTCTTTATGTAGGTTCCCCACTATCCTTTATTGTTCATGTTTACTTTTGAAACTGATCATATAAACAAAATAGCCAACCGACAGCCATCTTCGATTTTTGACATTGAAGGTTTGTTAGTACTATTTCTCAGGAATAACTTGATGGATCTTTCTCAATTTTGATATGTAGGTTTCCCTAATCCCTCGTTGTGCATGTTATATTTTGAGACTGATCATAAAAATAAAATGGCTAAAGTTAAGGAAGAACTAGACAGTGCAATGATTGATTCTATTTCTTTCACATTAAGTACTGTACTAGTAAGTATGTAAATTGACAAAGTCACTTTGAAGGTTGTCTTTCATACACATCAGTATTTAGTTTAGATCAAAAATGACCTCAAGGTGCATTTACTGTTAACATGACTGGATCAAATAGATTAGAGAAAAGAAGAGAAAAGATCGAACTGACAAAGAACTAATGAAGATGGTACAATGGTGGGCGCCAAGATCCCTCTGGGATCTCTTGTATTTACTGTTAAGCTGTGCATTGTAGGTGTTTTTCATAGTAACAAGTAATTAATCTGTTTGATGTAAATTAAATGATATTTTTTTTTATACTCCTAACATGTGTCAAGTAAGGAAAAATAAAAATAACAAAAATATTTGCAATCCAGTTTATTGTCAACTATTAGTCCCTTACCAGTCCAACCGGAAGGGACTTTAGTTTTTCAATCTGTCAGTCACACATTCTTGTGAACTCCACGCCTTCTAAAGTTTCAATCATATAACAAATATGTAGATGTTACAGACACAAAACAGTGATGCACGTATTGTTATGCCATTGCCATCATTTTATTTTCTTGGAGTTATGTCCCTTTTCATTGTCATTCTGTCTGTCAGACATTTTTTAGAGGACAACTTCTTATAAAGTATTTACTCATTGACAACGAAAGTTTTTAGTCCACCCACCATAAAATCACCCTGCGTCCGTGGTCCGCCTGTCCATCAGGCTATCATTACACTATTGCCATTCTTTAATTTTTACAATCCAATAAAATGCAATTTTCAACCTAACCTGCAAAATATTGAAATGTTTCCAAGGTGATGCTGTATATTAACCAGAATTTTATCCATTTAGGTATCGGTGTCCTGTGGCATCCCTGACTTCCGGTCCAGGAATGGTATTTATGCCCGACTAGCCGTCGACTTTCCAGATCTTCCTGATCCCCAGGCAATGTTTGATATCAAATACTTCAGGGATGACCCAAGACCTTTTTTCAAATTTGCCAAGGTAATTAAACTGATGGGCGCATTTGCATGCTTGAAATGTTTATACATGTGTGCATAATAGCTGTTTCAGATATATTTACTATCGTATGGCATTGCCATTTATAATTTATAATTCATGGGTTTGTTAGGTATTATATGAAATTGTTAACTTTTGTATAGTGGAAGAAAAAATTGTTGATGGTGAGGATCACAAAAACGGTGACTCCTCAATGTGAAGGAATCTTTATATTACATTTCAAAAATAGTAAACATGATTTGAAGTTGATACATATACCGTACTGTAAAATTATTTTTACAATAATATGCCTGTGATTAATTTGTAGGAAATCTACCCAGGCCAGTTTGAACCGTCCAAATCTCACAAATTCATCAAAATGTTGGAAAGTCAGGGAAAGCTTCTACGTAATTATACCCAGAATATAGATACCCTGGAGCAAGTGGCCGGGATAACCAGTGTCATTCAGTGCCATGGTAAGGGCTACAGTTTATACAGTTGTATCTATAGGCTTGAGTGCTCAGCTTCAATTATGTGACACTTATGTTTAGGCATACCTAATTCTAACTGTCTGGAGAGTGGAAAATAAAAGAAAACCTTCAGTTAAAGGCAACCTATATCTATTTACTTGAGTTTGTAAAGAAAATTCCAACAAAATATTTCTGAATATTTAAATGTCTTTTGTTTCTTCTCAGACATTTTATACCTCAGTCATGTGCTATTTTCAAAACAAAATCTTATTTAGAATTGTTGTTTAGATGTACCATATGTCTTGGTTTTCTCTAGGATCATTTGCCAATGCTACCTGTATGGTTTGCAAGCACAAGATGAAGGCAGATGATATTAAGGCAGATATTTTCAAACAGGTATAGTATATAACATTTCTAAACATCCTTTTGTAAGATTTACCTGTGATAAATTATATAATATCAATTTATTCTTACACAAAATTTGATCAGCTGAAGGATTAATTGTTGTGTTCGCTGAAATTTCTACAGCCAAGTAGTTGTTCAAGAAAGGACTTTTTGGTGAAGGCTATTACCATCCAGTATCAATGTAATTGACAAGAGTTCCTCCCCTCCAGCAACACAACGGCTTCTAAGACAATATTGTTATCAAACAATTGGGGCAGGCTATATTATTAACAACCATTTTCGTTCCAGTTTGGGTTTGTTTGTTGCTTATGTGTGTCACCGGTTGCTCAGTTTTAACAATAACTCGGACAAGTTGTTTTAAGTGTATATCTTTCCTTTATAATCTCTGAGATACCGGGTATGATGTTCCTAGCCTGCTAATACATGCTGGCGACAATGTATCTGTACGCCCTCTATATAATTAAAGGCTAAGCTCTATCAGTAATCTGATCCGGCTCTCACGAGTCGGATTGTAAGAATGACCACTGGGCAGTAAGTATCTACCCAGTAGCCAAAATATAGTGGCGGAAATATAGGGTGCTTTATTCGTGCAAGGGGCAGGTCTAAGGTCTACGTTTTAAGTACAATTCAGTCAGAATGTTGAAACAGAACATAACAACACAGGTACATGCATTCCGAACTGATGACGTCACATACACTGTTTACGAGACGGGATAACACACGTGTATACAGACAGTTGACAGCACTCGTATATATATATACACACACCATATATATATATATATCATATTATATAACCCAGGGTTACATGTGCCTAATATTTAATAACCTTATTATGCTACATTGAGAACTTGCACCACTGATGTACCACTAATGTATCACAAGAATAATTGCTGGGAGTTTTAACTACAGCTGGTTAGCAGTGGTGTATCATGCCGATAGCCAGACACACAAAGAAAATAATTGTGGAACATGGTTAGAAAAACTACTATTTACTATAAAATATAGGTGTGCCTAGTAGAATGTTTTCAAATCGTAACTACCACAGGCTAGTAACGCAGACTAGTGTTTATAAAAAGTAAAATGATTGAACAACTCTACTGGTATTTGTTGACAGGTGATTCCCCACTGTCCTAAGTGCCCCCCCGAGGACATCACTGCAGTGATGAAGCCAGATATTGTATTCTTTGGAGAAAGTCTCCCTGAGGAATTCCATCAACAGATGGCTGCTGATAAAGACAAGTGTGATCTACTCATCGTCATTGGGTCATCACTGAAAGTGCGACCAGTTGCTCTGATTCCAAGTAAGTACAACGATGTCAGGGTTTACTGAGGTTCCAAGGAAAGTTTGACCAGTTGCTCTTATTCCAAATAAGTACAACGATGTCAGGGTTTACCGAGGTTCCAAGGAAAGTTCGACCAGTTGCTCCTATTCCAAGTAAGTACAACGATATCAGGGTTTACCGAGGTTCCAGGGAAAGTTCGACCAGTTGCTCTTATTCCAAGGAAGTACAACGATGTCGGGGTTTACCGAGGTTCCAAGGAAAGTTAGACCAGTTGCTCTTATTCCAAGTAAGTACAACGATGTCGGGGTTTACCGAGGTTCCAAGGAAAGTTAGACCAGTTGCTCTTATTCCAAGTAAGTAGAACGATGTCAGGGTTTACCAAGGTTCCAAGGAAAGTTCGACCGGTTGCTCTGATTCCAAGTAAGTACAACAATGTCGGGGTTTACTGAGGTTCCAAGGAAAGTTTGACCAGTTGCTCTGATTCCAAGTAAGTACAACGATGTCGGGGTTTACCGAGGTTCCAAGGAATGTTCGACCAGTTGCTCTTATTCCTAGTAAGTCCAACGATGTCAGGGTTTACCGAGGCTCCAAGGAAAGTTCGACCGGTTGCTCTGATTCCAAGTAAGTACAACGATGTCAGGGTTTATCAAGGTTCCAAGGAAAGTTCGACTAGTTGCTCCTATTCCAAGTAAGTACAACGATGTCAGGATTTACCGAGGTTCCAGGGAAAGTTCGACCAGTTGCTCTTATTCCAAGTAAGTACAACGATGTCAGGGTTTACTGAGGTTCCAAGGAAAGTTCGACCAGTTGCTCCTATTCCAAGTAAGTACAACGATGTCAGGGTTTACCGAGGTTCCAAGGAAAGTTCGACCAGTTGCTCTTATTCCAAGTAAGTACAACGATGTCAGGGTTTACCGAGGTTCCAAGGAAAGTTCGACCAGTTGCTCTTATTCCAAGTAAGTACAACGATGTCAGGGTTTACCAAGGTTCCAAGGAAAGTTCGACCGGTTGCTCTTATTCCAAGTAAGTACAACGATGTCAGGGTTTACCGAGGTTTCAAGGAAAGTTTGACCAGTTGCTCTGATTCCAAGTAAGTACAACGATGTCAGGGGTTACTGAGGTTCCAAGGAAAGTTTGACCGGTTGCTCTGATTCCAAGTAAGTACAACGATGTCAGGGTTTACCGAGGTTCCAAGGAAAGTTCGACCAGTTGCTCTGATTCCAAGTAAGCACAACGATGTCAGGGTTTACCGAGGTTCCAAGGAAAGTTCGACCGGTTGCTCTGATTCCAAGTAAGTACAACGATGTCAGGGTTTACCAAGGTTCCAAGGAAAGTTCGACCGGTTGCTCTTATTCCAAGTAAGTACAACGATGTCAGGGTTTACCGAGGTTCCAGGGAAAGTTCGACCAGTTGCTCCTATTCCAAGTAAGTACAACGATGTCAGGGTTTACCAAGGTTCCAAGGAAAGTTCGACCAGTTGCTCTGATTCCAAGTAAGCACAACGATGTCAGGGTTTACCGAGGTTCCAGGGAAAGTTCGACCAGTTGCTCCTATTCCAAGTAAGTACAACGATGTCAGGGTTTACCGAGGTTCCAAGGAAAGTTTGACCAGTTGCTCTTATTCCAAGTAAGTACAACGATGTCAGGGGTTACTGAGGTTCCAGGGAAAGGGTTAATTAATCACTCAAACATTTTTGTATAGTCTGGATCATAACACCTATATATATCTGTAAAAGGTGGACTGCTGTAGCACCAATTCATTTTTGTAGAGTGTGGACTACCTTACTATCCACACATTGATATAAAATCTAGATTATCCTACCATCCATTCATTTCTGTTTAATCTTAAGGGGACACTTTGAACTTGTTAAATGCAGGGGGAAAATATAAAACATAAAAAAGTACAAAACAAAACTAAAAACTAACCAACCAGGTACTAACCAACGAGATTCGGACATTGCCATTTTAGCATCAGAAAATGTAAAGTTGCAAAATAACAAAAGATATGCAACAGCACGATAAAACAGCTAAATGTAGTAAGTATGTACGAAAAATAGCCAAAGGTACCACCGCTTGGCCCAAAATGACAAACAAAACAGAAGGTTTTAAAATAGCTTACAGTTCTTGTTATTTATGCCTTCATTGGGTATTTGCTTAAAAATGACTTTTCTTTTTTCTATCTTGAATTTCAATAGATTCTTTACCTCCTGATGTTCCACAAATCCTGATTAACCTTGAACCTCTCAAAAACATGAACTTTGATGTTGAACTGCTTGGCAACTGTGACACCATAATGGGTGAGTTGTGTAAGAGACTGCAGTGGGACGGCATTTCTAGTTTATCTGAACCGACCATGGAAGAAGTGACCAAAGGCCAACTCAGGACCCCTCCTCCTTATCCTGTAAAAGACCATGTGTTTTTCTCAGAGATCAGTACTGATAAAGATGTGATAAATGTGGATAATCTGGATAAAAAACTGAATGATATAGATGAATCAGTGACGGCGTGTGATTCCAGTCAAGTGGTGGCTAACGCACCACAGGACTCTGTTGTAGCTCAGAGTTTGGTGTGTGATACAAATCAGGTAGCACTTGACCCACCACAGGACAGTGATGTAGGTCAGAGTTCAGATCTCAATAACATCACTTCTCCGTCAGAGGATCAGTGTAGCTCTCAAAGTCAGCGTGTACAATTTTTGCAGGAAAATGTGTGTAGTTCTGCATCTGTCGTGGAACAAAACAGTGTGGAGTCTGCAAACGCTCTTAAACATCCTCAGCAGAAGGTGACAGAAAATGATGTGGAACCGGACACATCTGACCCACAGCAGGAAAGTGAAGTTTCTGCTCCAAACCCTGAGTCAACAGAAAAGAGTGTAGCAAACACAGTGAGGCCCGGTGAAGGTGATGCTACGGCACCTCTCTGCAAAAACACAGTGAGGCCTGGTGAAGGTGATGCTACGGCACCTCTCTGCAAAAACACAGTGAGGCCTGGTGAAGGTGCTGCTATGGCACCTCTCTGCAAAAACACAGTGAGGCCTGGTGAAGGTGATGCTACGGCACCTCTCTGCAAAAACACAGTGAGGCCCGGTGAAGGTGATGCTACGGCACCTCTCTGCAAAAACACAGAAGTTGTGACCTGCAGTACAGAAGGAGACCTGAAATCTGACATGGAGATTAGCAGGGCTTTTCAACAGGGACCAAGCTGCTCCAATGAGAATTCAGAACTAGAAATGATGAGGAGCATGTGGCAGCCAAAGCGCCATGACAGCCTCTCCAAACTGTTAGATGGTAAGTGATCATAAAGTGGTAAATGGTAGATGTGTCTTAGCTTCATGGCAGTGTTTTTATATTTCAATAGATCAATGCAAAATCACTAGCTATCTGAAGTTTTGATTATGTATGAAAAGTTCATGTATATCTCAGTAAACAGAAAACATTCCAATTTGTTGGTTCATTTGAATGCAATCCTTTTCTTAAGCTCACTCTTTGAAAATGATTTGGTCAATGGGCTCTTGTGATTACATAAAACTATAAAACAAAAATTTTGGAACCTCAATCGATAAGTTTGGGCCTGTGATTAAAAAGAGTTTTGAATATCAGTGTTTGACAACAGTAATATAACATTGTTTGTATATCTTTACATGTAATACATTGTTCGTATATCTGTACATGTAACAAAGTGTACGAGGATTCTCTTCACATTTCATTCAACATATGCATCTGAAGTTGTGTGTAAATAATTTATCACATTATACTTGAAGTCACAATAAATACTCAATACCAATGTAACCAGAAATTTATATCTTACAAAGTGTAAATAATCTACAGTTACTGTACTGGGATTAGATTGTTCATTTGTCCGTGCATCTATCTTCTGAAGACACAGTTTTGTCCAAATTGCTGATGTAGAACATCATCAATATCAATGAAGTTGCTAGCCTCTTGATAACTGTTCTAGTTAAATGGGTACATTTGTTTCTCTTATATGAGTAAGATGTTAACATAATAATTTGCAAGAAAAGGTTAAGCAAAATTCATACCCAAAAGTAATAAATCCATCTTTTTCAGAAAACCAGTTCTTGTATCTTGCACCTTGTCGGTATGTGTTTCCGGGAGCAGAGGTTTACGATAGCAGCGATGATGAAGCAGATGAGGTGCAGTCTTCAACGTCTTCAAGTTGCTGTTCCATTGACTCTAGGTTGGGAGATCTAGATAGGGTAGAGAAAAATGACTGTGGTGACATTGGAATGTCAACATGTGACCAACCATTGGAATGTCCACAGTCAACAGATAGTCAGGTCTCAACTACTCAAGCTATCAGTAAAGAAAGCAAACCTGTTGTGTCTACTGAAGCCATCAACTGTTCAGTCCAGAAATAGGGAAAGCAAACCTGTTGTGTCTACTGAAGCCATCAGCTGCTCAATCCAGATATAGGGAAAGCAAACCTTATGTGTTAAAAATAGAAGAAAACACAACTTGATCGTCCTCTGCAGCTACAATGTATTTCCCAATACAACTAGATTTACATGTTTGTATGTCAGTATATATATATTTATGTTCAAAGCAATCTGTGCCATCAAAATAGTCCAAGCACATTCCTTTTATTAATCAAAACTTTAATATGAAAATGAGATGTCATACAAAGCTTTGGTGTACAAATTCTGTTTGTCATTTCCATTTCATAGATCAAATACTGGTTTAGATAAATTGCATATAAATGGCTTATGTGAACAATTTGATTTTAAACCTTCAAAAATTTGGCAACTGGAAAAACGAAATTCATTGTTGAATTATAAACATTTCCTGATGATGATGCTTTTGCAAAAAAAATATGCTGAAACATCCTGTCTTGCATGATGAGAAACCCAAACATTTGCTTAAAATCTTGCCTGTTCCAGCTGGATTAATTGAGGGGATATTTCTGCAACAGAACAATCTGAGAGTATAAGGTTCACAGACTATTTACATTAAGATGATATATCCTGACAAAGTGTGCTGAGTGTGTTAGATGTGCCTGGTATATATAGACTTTGTGTTTACTACAATGTAAGAGGTGTACAGCTAGTCGCAGATCGACTGTACTATACAATAATGTAGCAGGAGGCGTATCGGCTAACTTATTATTTAATACTAATTATTAGGAGCCTAATTGGCTCTTGTTGTAGTGTTTGTATCTGGATCTGAATTGGTCTCTGGTTTCGTTGGATGTATTTGACCTCAGGTCTCGGTTGATTAATGCCTTTCACACCTGAGATCCATTGTTTGGCGCTTGTAGACCAGCTTGCTCCCTTCCTTGTTCTGTCTGACTTGCTAAAGAAAATTTTCACTCCCCAGAAACGATCTTTAATGCTTTTAGTTTTGTTCCTATTTTCTAAAAAAGAATAATAGAATTTGATAATTATCATTAATGTTACAAATTTACTTTGTTGAAGTTTCCAGACCATTGTCCGGAATAAAGCGTACATATACTAATGTTTTACAGTGAATGAATTAAAGTTACTGCAAGTACACCTACTGGATATTTTCTTACCAAGTCTTTTTTTAATTCATTGTTTAAAGTTGTATTTCACTTTTTGTGCACAACAACATTATTAGGATGAGGCCAAATTTACCTTGTTAGTGTATCACTGAGCAAAATATTGTTACAATTGACTAACTTTACCTTGATGATGCATTACACAAATATTATAAGGATTATTATATAGGATTAGACTAATTTCTACTTGTTAGTGAGTTATTGAGTCCAATACCTTAAAATAATCAGGATTATACCAAATTTACACTGTCAGAGTATTTTTGGGTTTCATTCACCAATGTGGTTGTGATTATGCCACATTTACATTGTCAGAAAATTGTTCAGCCTGATGTTAAAACAGTAGTATTTAATTAGGACGAGGCTAAATTTAAAACCATTTTCTGTCTCCCTACCAACCCTAAACTATTGTGCCTAACCAGAAACACTCACCGGACTTAGAAAATATCTGGGTTAACTTTGTGTTCTATCATCAAAGATTACTGGTATGTAAAATAGGCTAGAGAATAAAATGTTTGACCTACTTAAATGTATGGATATGTTTTCAAGGTTTTGTAAACCAGTGTGTATGATACCAAATGTATGTAGAAGTTTGTAAATATTCTATGTGTATATAAAACCTTTACTGTATATGTGCACTATATATCATCTGTTGTCTTGTTACATATGGACTTATGTATATATACATGTATGTAGCTCTTTTAGTTATGAAAATTCAAATTATTTACTTTGGAATGTAATTGAGTTATGTTTTATCTTAAAACTTTATCCTCTAGTGTAAATGAACTGTTTCCTTTAAGAACAGCATTTCAGGCTATCAAAATTGTTGAGTACACGAAGAATCTCTGCACAATAATTCTACAGCATCAAGTTTTACAAACTTACATATGATTGTATTTGGAAACAGATTTCTCAACTAACAGATTTAATTATATGAGGAACGGTTTAACTCATTCACCCCTGAAGACACATTTGAACTCTTCCAATATAAAGGTTGGAATAGGTCATTATGAAATTTCAGGGGTGAATTAGTTAAACAAATTTCTTGTGATAAAAATATTGCAAAAGCATTCCTTTTTTTAACTAAATCAGGAAACAGAAGGAGCTGAAGGTCAGAGAGATGTATCATTGATCATCTTTAGCTACATTTTTCATGCAAATATGGTGTCTCATTTGGTGTGTACGTATTATATTTGTTGTTTTGTTCGATTTATTTATTGTATAAATGTATAATTTTGTAAGAATGAACTATATGTCTATATATATTTCTTACAAAAGTCAAAATCAGAAGGTGCCGAAAATTCACTGTGAATATCCCATCAGAAGTCAGTATGACGTATAGCTTTTGTATGAATCATCAGAAACCTGGTATGTGTATGTATATATCACTGTAGTCAATTTGTAGGTATAGATTATTATATATTATTATCTATTAAACTGTAAACAGCCTTATATTTTATGGTGAATTATTTTGTAGATATTTAGAAATTTAGAAAGTCATCTTAAGGTGTAGGAGTTAGTTATATACTTAGAAGTAGATGTATATAGTAGGAAATCCTGTCAGACACAGAACATTCAGTAGCAGGTAGTCAAATAAAAAACAGTCACATGAACAAATCAATATTATTGTTTTATTTATAACAAGTGCAAATAAGCTCTTTACTTTTATCATTAAACCTTCCAAATGAGTTTGGAATCTTGATCTTAAGTCACAAGGCATATGACTTGTGTGTAATGACTGTCAGAGGATCTTATCCAAAGCTGTCATACTTTCTCCATTAGGTGTATGACATACTGGTATGTAACGTTCAGAATTATAAGTTCAGCCCTGAATGAGTGTTTCCAATCTGTTCAGTGCATAAGTACAACACTGACAGAGTGTATCCAGTCTGTCCAGTGAATAAGTACAACACTGAAGTAGTGTATCCAGTCTGTTGAGTGAATAAGTACAACACTGATGTAGGGTATCCAGTGTATATAGCAATATAAGTTTATTTTACAGTGTATGTGTTACAATGTAGCAATATACGTTTATTCTACAGTGTACGGGTTACAATGTAGCAATATACGTTTATTCTACAGTGTACGGGTTACAATGTAGCAATATACGTTTATTCTACAGTGTACGGGTTACAATGTAGCAATATAAGTTTATTTCACAGTGTACGTGTTACAATGAAGCAATAGAAGTATATTCTACAGTGTACGTGTTAAAATGTAGCACTAGAAGTTTATTTTACAGTGTTCGTGTTACAATGTAGCAATATACGTTTATTCTACAGTGTACGGGTTACAGTGTAGCAATAGAGTCACAAGGCATATGACTTGTGTGTAATGCCTGTCAGAGGATCTTATCCCAAGCTGTCATACTTTCTCCATTAGGTGTATGACATACTGGTATGTAACTTTCAGAATTATAAGTTCAGACCTGAATGAGTGTTTCCAATCTGTTCAGTGCATAAGTACAACACTGAGAGAGTGTATCCGGTCTGTCCAGTGAATAAGTACAACACTGATGTAGGGTATCCAGTGTATATAGCAATATAAGTTTATTTTACAGTGTACGTGTTACAGTGCAGCAATAGAAGTTTATTCTCCAGTGTACGTGTTACAATGGAGCAATAGAAGTTTATTTTACAGTGTTCGTGTTACAATGTAGCAATAGAAGTTTATTCTCCAGTGTACGTGTTACAATGAAGCAATAGAAGTATATTCTACAGTGTACGTGTTACCATGTAGCAATAGAAGTTTATTCTCCAGTGTACGTGTTACAATGTGTTTCCAATCTGTTCAGTGCATAAGTACAACACTGAGAGAGTGTATCCGGTCTGTCCAGTGAATAAGTACAACCCTGATGTAGTGTATCCAGTGTATATAGCAATATAAGTTTATTTTACAGTGTACGTGTTACAGTGCAGCAATAGAAGTTTATTCTCCAGTGTACGTGTTACAATGCAGCAATAGAAGTTTATTTTACAGTGTATGTGTTACAATGTAGCAATAGAAATTTATTCTACAGTGTACGTGTTAAAATGTAGCACTAGAAGTTTATTTTACAGTGTTCGTGTTACAATGTAGCAATAGAAATTTATTCTACAGTGTACGTATTACAATGTAGCAATAGAAATTTATTCTACAGTGGACGTGTTACAATGTAGCAACAGAAGTTTATTCTACAGTGTAAGTGTTCCAATGTAGCAATATAAGTTTATTCTACAGTGTACGTATTACAATGTAGCAATAGAAATTTATTCTACAGTGTACGTGTTACCATGTAGCAATAGAAGTTTAGTCTACAGTGTACGTGTTACCATGTAGCAATAGAAGTTTACTTTATAGTGTACGTGTTATAATGTAGCAATAGAAGTTTATTCTCCAGTGTACGTGTTACAATGAAGCAATAGAAGTATATTCTACAGTGTACGTGTCACAATGTAGCAATAGAAGTATATTCTACAGTGTACGTGTTACAATGTAGCAATAGAAGTTTATTCTACCTACAGTGTACCTGCTATAGAAGGGGGGGGGGGGCATGTTTTTATCACCTAATTTGGTGAATTATGTTCATAATTTTCGCACTTCGAAACATAAATACTAGATAGCTGCTTTAAGTTGTCACTAAGGAACAGCCTCTTGTGCGAGAGGAAATAATCAGACACAGACTAGTTCCTACTGTAAAGAAGAAAATGCAGGTTATTACAATTGTATTTTAGAAATTAAATCTGCTGATCTGTCAGGATATGGCAATGATAAGTGACATACATGTAGAATGGCATGAAAGGAATGAGTTATTTTGTAGTAGAGGATTGTTAGTGCTTTGACACACTGTACGGAAGGGCCTGAAGAGAATGAGGTATTTTGTAGTAGAGGGTTGTGACCGCTTTGTACACACTGTACGGAAGGGCCCGAAGACAATGAGGTATTTTGTAGTAGAGGGTTGTGACCGGTTTGTAACAGTGTACGGAAGGGCCTGAAGAGAATGAGGTATTTTGTAGTAGAGGGTTGTGACCGCTTTGTACAGCCTGTTTGTTACCATGTTCTGTTACGTGTTTTCCTTATAAGATGGTTTAGTTTTGTACTCGTATCCTTTCTGTAATTACCATATACCTGTCTAGTATCTTCCAACCCTAGTTGCTTTCTACATCAATAAAACGTCAGATGGTGTTTTACTACACTCGATACTCCTGCATTAGTACATGTAGAATGACGTTTTAGCTCCAAATCATCGACAGTTAATAAACTGTTGTAAATCTACCGTCGGTAGACCATGAAATAGTAGACGATCAAGTTTCTCTGACCATAAGTACATGAAGTATAAGAATCGAGAGACTAGATGGTATTTTCAAATCCTCAGCGGTTCATGAATCTGTAGAACGTCTGGTGTCACTTGAGTCTCAGCTGTCATAAATCAGCAGAATGTTTGGTGTCTCTCAACCCTTGGCAGTTCATAAATCAATGGAGGTGTCCATGGGCGCTTGTAACTCGTGAACCTATACAATTGTCTTAGTCTCGCAACGTTTTATAGGTAATGGGATATTAATAAAAGAAAAAACGGTGTCGCCAAACCCTTGATAGTACACGAACCTGAAGAACGTTAAAATAACGTTATAACGGTATCATATAGTTCTAATAACAAAATAAAAATACTCGTTTTTAACCGATCTCTCTAACGCCCCTAAATAATGTTCAATAAATTGCACGCTTTAGAGTATTCTGTCGAAGTTGAAGATAACCAGTAGTCCATGAGAACGTAACTCCCAGCCAACAGTAGTTCATGAGAACGTAACTCCCAGCCAACAGAAGTTCATGAGAACGTAACTCCCAGGCAACATTTAGTTCATGAGAACGTAACTCTCAGCCAACATTTGGTTATGAGAACGTAACTCCCAGCCAACGGTAGTTCATGAGAACGTAACTCCCAGCCAACGGTAGTTCATGGATTCATTAATAAACCGGTGTCTCCCAACAACGATTCCACCGACGTCATGCTCGTTATTTTGTTCTTCTAAATGCGACAGAGACGGGTACCAATAATTGAGCACTAAACGTGGTTTTCAAAGGGAAAGTCAGCTCTGAATTTCGAAAACTCCCCTGTTGTGAATTAACGTCTTAGCGACACCAAGAACGAAGCTACGAGGAAAAGATCTTGTGCTCAAGAAAGGAGATCAGTTTCTTGATCCACGCTTATCAGTATCCTACATTCTAGTCTATAAACGCTGGAGGGGAAACCCTAATTGGAGCCTTTATTGTCTTGAGTTACTCCTAGGCATAAGAATTATAACGTAACTCCATTCCAGCTAAACGTTTGTACATGTACCAGTTTCATCAAGGCCATGCCGTTAATTAGGACATTTGGGAAGATGCAAATGAACAGCAGTAATACAAAAACTAACGCTTTGAGAAAATACATGGAAAATGGCCTTCAAATCGAGCAAATGCAGTACGTTATTTGTGATACAAAATAAAACCCCTATATTCCACAATCATACCCTACACAAACAAATAATAGAGCTTGTAGATCAGGCTAAGTGTTTGGATGTGAACAACAATCTGACCTTCAATGGGAATCGCATATAAATAAGATCTGCTCAAGGTTTAATTCAACCTCTAAGCTCAACCTCAGCAAAAGGGCAGGCATATGAATCCATGCACAGTATGGGACCCTTACATCCAATCAAATATTGATAAGATCAAAATAGTAAAGAACAGGGCTGCACATTACGTGCTTTAATTATCGTACCTAAAGTATGTCCGAACTATTGGACCACTTAAAAGTGCTTCCTAAGTAGAAACGCTCGACTAACAAAGTTTTATGATATCGTCAATTATAAAGCTGCTATCGTAAAATCTGACAGTTTAATTCTTTTATCCAGAAAAAGAACCTTCATTTTGAGCTCACCTGGCCACGTGGCGCGTCGTCCGTCGTCCAGCGTCAAGATTTTACTTTAAATGACTTTTTCTAAATATTTCGCCAGAACTATACTGGGATGAAGGGCTACCAAGTTCGTTCAAATAAATGGCATTCACCCATATTCAAGGTCATAGGGGTCAAACATATTAAAATCTTCTTCTGAATAACCAAATCAAACGGGATGATATTTGGCTAGTAGCATGCTGAGATGAAAAGCTATAGGTTTGTTCGAATGAATGACTTCGCCCATATTCAAGGTCACAGAGGTCAATTTTCTTATTTAACCAAAAGGACCAGGGTGATGATATTTTGTCAGTAGCATGATGGGATGAATGAATTCGCCCATATTAAAGGTCACAGGGGTCAATTGTCTTTTTAATCCTTTAACTGACTTCTTTTGTATATTTGTCCAGTAGCGTGCTGGGATAAAGAGCTATCAACTTTGGTCAAATGAATTACCGTCGCCCATATTCAAGGGCACAGGGATCAAATAAGTTGAACTCTTTAAACGACTTCTTCCGAAAGTTCACGGGTGGCGACATCTAGAATAGGTTATGTAAATAAGCTACTATGTGCAGTCGTTGGTATTCTGTTCTTGAGAGAAATATACGTCTTGTTATGTTCACCGGAAAATGGACCATATAACACCCGTCCTGATGTCCTGAACACAAGCATTCCCCCTGAAACTTTTCCAGTGCATTTTAGG